ACTTAAATCTCAGTTGTGACATCAAACATTCCCCCACCAGGTATTTCTATTGCAGCCAGCTCGCCAGAATAAAGAAAGGCACCTGCTGCAAGGCCTAGAGTTCCATCCTGGGGACCCACATGACAGGAGGAGAGACCCAGCTCCTGCAGCTTGGCCTCCACCCTCCACACACACACTGTAGCCTGCATGCTCCCTGTCACACACACCCAGGAACACACATTTTAAAAAAGAAATTTCGATTGCAACTCTACCCCATTTCCATATTGTTAGCACTCCCCAAAGCAAAACACACTCCACGTGGGTGGAAGTTGTATCCCTTAAGCTGCAAAGGATGGCAAAGCCTGTGCCTCTGCCGCTCAGCCCCCAGGATGCCCTTCATCTTATGCTATTGGGGAGGGCAGCTTCTCCTGGCTTCTTTCAGTTCTGCTCCCCTTGCCCACTCGAGACGAGGCTCTTTTCATTTTTGCCTTTATTTTGTTTTGTTGCTTATTTGAGACAGGGTTTCACTTCATAGGTCACACTGGCCTCAGACTCACAAGCCTCCTGCTCCTCCACCTGCCAAGTGCTGGGATTATAAACTCTCATCACTGTATTCAGCTTCCTGCTCAGGATGTTGTGTCATGGGCTCCCAAAATCTCAAAGCATCATCCTGTCCTCCCAGGGTTTAGAAAGTCCTTGAGGAGAACTGGTCCTCACACACAGGAAACAACAGGGAGAAGATGGAGGACCGAGCTAGATGGCCGTTGTCTGCTTGTTTCACACAGGCTCTCATTGTGTGGCCCTGGCTGTCCTGGAACTCACTCTGTAGACCAGGCTGTCCTGGAACTCAGAGATCTGCCTGCCTCTGCCTCCTGAGTGCTGGGATTAAAGGTGTGCACCATCACTCCTAACTAGACCAGCTCCTTGATGTGACTTTCTCTCCCTCAGACTAAAGCTAGGGAGAGACAGGGGATATCTGGAAGGAAAATGAGGAAGATGTCCTTGTTATTACCAAACACATCCACATTCTCTCTCCCTCTGTACCTGTTCTTCCCTCAGCCTGCAGACCTTTCCCATTGCAGTGCCTGGTTGTCTCACAGGGCCCTCTGAATCTCAAAGGTTGATCCTGTTACTCTGGGTTTTGATTGATTGGTCTTGTTTTGTTTGCCACAGGGTCTCACCCACCCTACAGTCCAGACTGGCTTCTAACTCTTCCCGTCTCAGACTCATTATCTGTTTTCATGAACTGAAATTGTAATATGCTGTTCCCTATCAAAATGTGGACTTCAAGCTAGGTGTGGTAGCACAAGCCTTTAATCCCAGGCAGAGAGGCAGGTAGGTCTCTGTAAGTTCGAGGCCAGTCTAGTTTACAAAGTGAGTTCCAGAACAGCCAGGGCTCTGTTACACAGAGTAATCCTGTGTCGAAAAACCAACCAAACAAACAAAGACTTCAAAAGCTAAACTCAGGCCAGGCATGGAGTTGCACCCCTTTAATCCCAGCACTCAGGAAGCAAAGACAGGTAGACCTCTGAGTTCCAGGCCATCCTGATCTGTATAATAGAACCCTGTTGTGTGTGTGGTTGGGGGTGGGGTGGTGGGGTGTTTTGCTTTGTTTTGTTTTTAAGGTTTTTCAAGACAAGGCTTCTCTGTGTGGCCCTAGATGTCCTGGAACAAACTCCATAGACCAGTCTGGCCTCGAACCCACAGAGATCCATATTTGCCTCTCCCTCTCAAATGCTGGGATTAATGGCATGTGCTACCATCACCCAGCTAAGATCTTGTCTTAAAATTAGACAAAAAAAAAAACATAGTTTTAGGCCAGCTTGGGCTAGAGTGAGACACTCTCTCAAATAAAGGTGGAAGGGAGGCTGGAGAGATGTCTCAGTGATTAAGAGTACAAGTGATACAGAGGACTCAGGTTTGGCTCCCAGGACCTACACGAGACTCAACAACTATCTGTAACTCCAGTTATAGGAGATCTGGTGCCATCATGACCTCCTCGGGCAGGAGACACGAACAAGATGCACATGCATACATGCCCACAAAAAATATTCAAATTAAATAAATTTTAAGCAAAAAAGTGGACTTCAGGGCTGGGGGTGTGGCGCCATGTAGAGTACTTGTCAAGCATATTCAAGGGCCTAGGCTTGACACTAGCACTATTTGGGGGGGGGGGGGGACATAAAAGCATTAAATAAACAAAAAAAAATGTGACTTCATGAGACAGGGATTCTGCCTTAACACACAGTGCTGAAGTGGCACCTGGAACCCAGTAGACAGGGTGTGGAGCGGCTGACTGGACAAACGGACCCATGAGTATCTTCCTGCCCGTCTATTCTTGTCAGAGTTGTTACCCTGGGAGTGTGTTTGTGTACTTGTATCCAGAAAGCCAACAGATGGCATGTGCGGTTCTATGTGGAAGTCACCGCATTTTCAAATAGCTTAGAAGTGAGTCTCTGTGCATGTGAGAGGCGGTAGGTGTCGTGAATGTCAGGCGGTTGGCAGGGGGTCTGTGGATGCCAATGCTCGGAGGGGGTGTGTCCCAGGGCACTGTGCAGTGTGTGCAATTTCTCTCCCCAGCTGTGCATCTGTCCCCAGGTGTCTTCCTGTCTCTCAGCGTGTCACGATGTCTTGGCTGCTTTGGTGAGGTGCTTGTCACAGAGACTATTTATCTCCACTTCTCTCCCCTCTTGTATCCACCTGTATCTCTGGATGTGTCAAGGGAGCTCTCAGAGCCCTTGTCCCCTCACACTCACAGCCCTGCCCCAGTCTTGGACCCCTCCCTTTCTCAGTGGGCCCTGTTGCTGGGCTCTGTGTTGCCATAGTGACGGTTGCCAAGTCCCTGAGGCTGATAGCCAGCGATGGGGCTGTCGGCTCCATCCACGCGGGAGGCTGAGGGGGGCTTCCCATTGTGTAGAGAAGGGGATGTTTCCAAGACAACCAACCCCCACTAAGGGCCAGGGACCAACCCTTCCAACCCCCTCGAGCCTCCCCACTTTGGGCAGCTCCAGTGTGGGCTCAGAAGGCAAGAGGAAATTCCACACAGCCCAGTACCTGGTCTCCCAGTTCTCAACCCCCCTGCTTCAGTACCTATGTACCTCAGAGGCATCTTGCCGAGAGGGATAGGGGTCTCTGTGAACAGAGAGGAAGGGGGGACCCCTTGACCCCCAGGCAGATGGGAGACAGTGGGAGGAACCTTAAGTCATGGGAGGGCAGCCAGGGCAGAGGTTGTGACCCCCGCTGACTCGCTTCAGTGATGCTCCTGACAGCTTTTGTGGCTGGAGAATGGGGTTGAGTCTAGGGGGATGGGCACCTGGGCTTTTCGGGGAGAAGAGCCCCGGGTACGGGTACAGAAGCAGTCACACTTGACGCCTGGGTGCCTGGGGTCTTCCTGCAATTTTCTCCTCAGCTTTATCCCTTCAGTCCCCAACAGCAAAACTCCCCGAGTCAGAGGTACTTTGGGGAGGGGTGCAGGAAACAGATCTTCACAGGATCATTTTTACCACAGTGACGCCAATGGTGACTTGTGCTCTCTCCCAGGTGCTCGGCTTTAGCGTGACACTCACGCCCCTCACGTGTGAACAGTATGGGCACCGATCAGTGAGTGTGCCAGCACGCCCTCTCTACAGGTGGTTGCCTCCCTCAGCCTTCTGAAGCCATGATTCCCTCCCCATAAACCTCCCACTTCACTACTCCAGCCAGTGTTCTTTCCCCAGGCCCCTTGGTTCCATGTGACCAACCCTCTGCTGACCCTAAGCTTGAAAGCCATTCTGACTCGCAGATTCATGTCCAATCACTCTCCAGCCTTCTCATCAACTTTTAAAGTTTTTTATTTTTTTTTCCTGTTTTCTGTTGTTCAAATTTCCCTTTTACAGTGAAACTATTGAGGTGACGGCCATACCCCGCCACCTCCCCCATGGCAATATCAACTTCCTGTTCCCTGGAAGGAGCTGGGAACAACAGCACCAGAGAGACATGTTGACCTCTGGCAGACAAAGCAACCATTTTGGTTGGTGACTGAGGTGGCCGACTTGGTGCCTAAGGGCAGCTTTGATCTAATAAAACTGAGCTGGGAGGAAACTGAGGCAGCAGCCCATTGTGCACTAAAGAGCGGGAAGAGGTATAGGCTTGTCACTATGGAAACAGCAACCAGTGCTAATAACTGCCATCAGCTAGACCAGTCAGTAGACCACCTCTTGGTCACTAAGATGGGTGCTGTGTTGGGTTTGAAGGGAGGAAGGCAGGAACAAGAGACAGCCGTCCGGTCACTGGGGAGAACATGTGGGTTCTTGGGGTAGTCCTGTTGATCAACAGAGATATACTGGGGTACAGGAAGGGAGAACACGACAAATTGGGCCTGCCACAGCAGGTGGCAGTCATCTTAGCTGTCCTAAAAACCGCACAGAGCACAAGGGAAGGCAGGTCCTGGGAAGTGCCACCGAATACTAAGAAAATCCTCAGTCCACATCTGTCCTCTCACAGTGGTAAGTTCCAGCTTCCTCCTAAAACAGGAAGTTCCTCCTGCCCCTTTCTCCACAGGGTAAGAACCATCCACTTCCCATGCCCCCACGCCCACCCCCACAACCTCCCCAGACTAAGCCACTTGGAATTCCAGCCAGACCACTTCCTATTTCAGGAGTGCGACTTCCTGTCCTGGATGAAGGCACTTCCAGTTCCTGCTGCACTCCTCTGCCACCTTCCAGGCCATTTCTGTCCAGGCCTGGTCACTTCTTGTCTGGAGCGAGTCACTTCCCATCTGATGCCCACCCGGGCATCAGATCAAGTCCATAAAGTCCCCACTGGTTCGCATCTTGCTATCAGCCACTGGACACAACAGGACACTTCTTCTCACGGTAGTGGTTGTCACCCAACCACCCCAAATGGCTGGAGTAAGTACACAGAAGGGCAGGGAAAGAGGCCCTGTGCCCGGAGCCAGAATCTTCCCCCAAAAGCCCCCGTTTTGGGCAGACTGAGGGGAGCAGTTGATATGAAAAGTTGGGAAGGGCCAAGAGCCGAGGGGAGAGACGCTTTGATGCCCCAACCCAGGACACGTGTGAGAGGCACAGGACAAGAAGCCAAGAGGGTAAAGGAGATGTAAGGAGCAGGGTGCTAGGGAAGAGGGAGAGAACAGACCTAGAGACAGAGAGAGAGAATAAGAGATAGAGAAAGAGAAAAACTGTGAGAGGCAAAAAGAGGTGCCAACCAAAAGACAGACTGTCCCCACCCCTACTCTGGGTGGGCGGGAACAGGACACCTGTGTCGCGATTAAAGGAGGCTGAGCCTGTGCCCCCTTCCCCAAGAGGCAGAGATCAGAGGAGTGCCCACAGCCGTACAAGGGGGGAGGGGGCAGGAAGAGGTGGAGTCAAGTCTTAAGGGATCCTAAAACTGCAGACGGACGAGGGCTATAGCCAGGAGGAACCAAGGAGCTGGTGGGGCAAAGGGGGCCAAGGTTATGGCGCAGGTGCCCCTCATGCCATGAATTAAACTGGAGGAGCACCCCATGGAGGGCTGGATTGAGGAAAGCCGGGAGGGAGGAGCCCTCATACCTTGTAGTAGATGTTTGGAGGGCTCTGAGGAGGGCCATCCTGGACAATGTACACAGGGTGCCCATAGTCACCACTCACCTTCTCATAGTGGGGGCAGAAGGGGGGATCTGCAGCCCCACCACCCCGCAGGGCTATTCCTAGCTCCCCAGGCTCAGCCTCCCGAGGTCCCATCCCCCCTCCACCACCCAGGCCCAGAGACCCTCCCCTCCCAAAGGAGCCAGGACCAGGGTGGCGACTCTCCGAAGGCTTGGCCCGCCGTCTCCGCCAACACATGGCACCCCCAGCCCCTGCCACGCCCAGCAAGAGCAGCGCCAGCCCCCCTGCTGCCCCAGCCACTGCGGGCATGCTGGGAGGGGGCAGGGGGCCTTCAGCACCCCGGGAGGTTGCATTGCTGTTGGGGTCACCTGGCAGGGAAGGGGTGAAGGAGGAAAGAGGGGGAGGGGCTGAAGGAACCATCTGGATATTTGGATACACCCAGCCCTGGGGGCGTCCCCATGATGGGCTTCCCCAGCAGTGCCCAAGCCCTTTAGGTATCCCACATACCCTCCCCCCAGGGCCCAGATCAAAATCCAGGTGTCCAGCCTACAGCTCGCTGCCATGTAGTCCCCCCCACTTCTCTGACAGCGCTGATTGAAGCACTGACTTGGCTAATTAGTTCTAATTGAGTCTTTTCCTCATTTGGCTTCCACTTCCCTCCCACCCTCCCATCCTCTCTCCTCTTTCCTGTATCGCCGCCCCCAAAACGGGAGAGGGAGGGCGGAAGGGGGTGACAGCAGGGCAGCTGGGGTCTGAGAGTAGAGGAGGCAGGAGGCTCCTGGTTCCTACCTGGTAGGCTGTCCTTCCCAGGCTCCAGGCTGTGAGCTGCCCCTCGGTCTCTCTCCATGGGCATTTCAGACACAGGTTTTCGGGGTACAGCTCCTCCTCGGGGACCTGAAGGCAGGGGAGACACAGAAGAGAGGGGCTGAGATCCCGGCCCCTGGCCTGCATGTACTACCTAAATCTCCCTCAGCTCCTAGCAGGAGTCCCCCGGCCCCACTCACTTTGGCCCACTCGCAGAAGCACCCTCATGCCTCTGGTCAAGCACACGCCTCCCTGCAAGCTCTCCAGGCCTTCCCGGGTCCCATCGGATGTGGCTGGAAACAAGGACGGGAAGAAGTCAGCACTCCAGGTCCAGCCCCTCCTGTCCCCGTGCCCTGGGGGAACACTGCTGAAGGCACAGAGGTGGATTCCAATGGTCCCCGCTTCCTCGCCCCCCATCCCAGGGACTCTCTACTGCCCCTGCCCCCTGCCTGGCAGTACCAATTATGTAGTAATCGTGGTGGGACCGGAACTCGTGGCCCCAGAGGTTAGGGCTGTATTCTTGGAACTTGATGGTGAAGCGGAGGTCCAGGTCTGGCCGGTCACATGTGAGAAGAAGGTTTGGGGCAGGGGGTGCCTCACAGCGCCGACCCTGGGCACCTCCTACCAGGTACAGCTTGTAGAATTCATAACTGGGAGAGGAGTGGGGGCCAGGAGGCCGGGCCCGGGGGCAAAGCAGATCTAGCCGGTCCCCGATCTGAGGGTAAAGTACGTAACCACCCTCTGCCTGGAACCTAGAGGGAGGACAAAGTAGACAAGGGAGAAATGTCAGGGGTGTGGCGCCCAAAGCTTTCCCCCGCTCACTGCCAACCCTCCAGGACAGCAGTTCTCAGCCCCCACCCATTGCCTTTGTTTGAGTCCCGTGTTCGGTAAGCCCGGGCAGCAAGGGCCCTGCTAACTCACATCAGAAGCAGCAGGAGGCCAGGCTCAGAGGTCTCCTGCCCCTTGGTGTGCCCAAATGCACTCTTCAGCCCGCCCTCACCACATGCACACTGCCATCTCCCGCTCCATCACCGGTGCCGTTGCCATGGCAACGGGATGCCAGTTACCAAGGAGCTGGCCTCTCTGGAACCACACAGCCCACCCCTCCCAGGTGATTTCACTATTCCATGGCAGTCAACCATGGGGGTAGAACCTCCCCCTCTTCCAGGCCACCACTGAATTTCAGGGCAATGGGGGGTGGGGGGCGAGGTAGAGGTTGTGGGGTTTGGGGGGGGGATCTGGACCAGTTTCCCAGGTTAGCCAGTTAATGAGACATAAAGTGCTAGTTTGGTTCTGATCAAAAGGGGGGGGGGCTGATGAGAACCAATGCACAGGGGCTGACCACCCAGATCACTCTCCTTCCTGCGTCCCGCCTTGGGGCTTAAACTTTCTGAGGAAAGTGCTCTCCTGCTTTGAGTTGAAGTAGTTGACTTCTGCAGCCACAGCTGACAGAGCCCAGCATGCATCCTTGGCCAGCAAGCCAGGGGACCATGGGCCCAGCACAGCCGCAACTTGCATCCATAGGAGAAACTGAGCCCCAGGAGACTGTTGCTCAGCATCTTTCCAGATTCCAAACGACCAGCTCCCACCCAACATCCGAAAGAGTCTCAGGACACCCTAATGCTTTTTCTCAACCCTATCAGGATAGCCCAATTTATAGCCTCAAGCTACACCTGCTACTCAAACCTGCAGCCAGGAGTTGCTGGCAGGTGGGAGAGCCTGAGATTATCCCTACGAAAAGAATGGAGGGGGAGAGGGTACCAGGACTGGGACAGGGCAGGGAGGCCAGAAAGCAAAAAACAAAAACAATCCTACCTCTCCCTTCATGAGCATACAATACGTCCAAATACCTTGCCTCCAATCCTCATAACAGCTGTAAGGACTGAAGATACAAACTCAGAGAGGTTAAGTGACGTGCCTAAGGCTACACAGCGACAAACAGCAGAGCTAGTATTAAGACCGGATACCTGGTGAACTGTGGTCCACTGCCTCCCACAACCTCTCACAGCCTCCCCAGGGAAGTAGGAAGTCTCTGAAACACAGAACTCTTGGGCTGATGGTAATAGAAAACGCCATGGAGGCAAATCACTTAGATGACCTCCCATAGGTGCCGTCTGCCCTGTGTGACTGACCCTTGGCCTCTTTTCAACCCAAAGCAAGCACGCCAGGGAAGAGTCTGCGATGGGAGAGTTTGCAGCCAGGAGAAGAGGAGAGGGCAATGGTATCCTCAGGACTCCAGAGGCAAGAAGAGGGGAGAGGCTGGAGGGGCTCAGGGCTCACTCTAGAAAGAAGCCGCCAAACCAGGGAATATATCCTAGCTGACAAGTTGTGCAGCCAAGGTTCACTAGTCCTGTGTCTGTGAACACAAGTTGGGATGGTGAGCTGTTCCTAAGCCCCACACTGAACCCACTTGCTCTCATCTCAACACCGAGTGCCTCCTGGGAGCTAGGCATCCCTGCCCTTCCCCGTGGTGCCTCAGCAGAACCTAGTCAGCACCTCTCTCCTGAGAGCTGACATTAACCAGGCTCCCTTCAACCCAGATGACACAGGTCTCCTACAGATCCAGATAGTCACTCCACTGCCCTCTTGCTGCCCGTGAACTTTTTATCTTTGCCCCTTTAAGGTCTCCAAACTCCTGACACATGGCATCACCACCCACATCCAGCTCTGTGAGACTCAGAGTCTGGGTCCTAAGATCATTGCTGTCTTGTAACCTGTCACCTCACCTCAGTGCTACAGCACCCTTTTGCCAGCCTCCTCCCAGCTGGGAATCCAAACCCTGAAGTCTCCAAGCTTCCATATCCCTTACCCACGGGACTGGAGTCTCCCCAGTCCCAGGCCACTCTCCCCAGTCCCAGGCCACTCACCTCTTATTCGCCGAGTTCCAGTAGACGGGCTCCAGGCTGAGTCCAGACACCAGCCCCGCAAAACCCAGCAGCAGTAGGGCCCCGACTTGCACACCCCCTGGCCCAAAATGGGGGGCCCCCATGACCCTACCAAGGCCTGGGGGCGGGGCACCAACTCCCCCAAAGTCTCTCACCCCCCAGGGGTGGCTACCACGCTGTGGAGCCCCAGTCACCCTGGTGGGTGGCTGATCACCCCCAGCTCCCACAAGGACCCTCTTTTCTGCTGTGCCTGCGCCCCGGCTCCAGAGCGCTCAGCTCCACAAGAACCCTTGCAGGGGCCGTCTGCAGGCGCCCTACGCGCCCCCGGCCCACGCGCCAGCACCTCGGGATTTGTGCGCCCGGCTACGTGGGGGGCATGGGGAGCCGAGGAGCGGGCGGGGGCGGCATGGGGTGCCGGACAAGGCAGCGAGGAAGGGGACACCGAGCCGGAGCCCCAGCCTCGCCGGGATTGAGGGCAGCAGGCTAAGGGAGGAAACCAGTCCCGAGCCCAGGAGGGGGGAGTTAAAGGAGAGGCGGGGAGGGGGAGAGCATGGTGGAGGGAAAAACCGGAGCTGGAGCTCAGTCGGAGCGGGCGTCGCATCCCGCGGCCCACGCCCCCCACACCTCCCTCACCTCGCGCACCTCCCGTCCGCCACCCCGCCTCGCTGCCCGGCGCGGTCTCTCACGCCCCCTTTGTCCCTCGCAGTGTCCGTCTCTGGCTGAGTTTCTGCTTGCCTTTCTGTCTTCCTGCCCTCCGATCGCCCGAGCGGTTGGAACCTTCCTCGCTAGCGTCTAGAAAGGCTCTTGCCCTATCCGCCCCGAAAAACCTTCCCCCTCTGCTCCCGCAGCCTGCTCCCCTTCCATCCCCAAACAACACCGCTGCTTCCGAGCGAGCGAGCGAGCGGCCTGGAGAGGGCAATGACAACCTTGGAGGCCAGGCACTTCACAGAGGATGGCCAGGTTGATGGTCCGTCTACCTGTGTGACGTGGGAGGGGACAGAGCTACCCGGGTTGAGAGAGGACCCCGTGACTTGCCCAAGGTCACACGGGGAGTTTAGGAAAAAATGAAAATACAACCTAGGCTGCCCAACTCCCCTTTCCTGGGGTCCCTTTGTCACAGCTTCTCTGACACAAGGCTGTTTTCTGTGGATTAGGTGGAGACTAGGGAGTGAATTTTGACCCTTCTTAGATGATCATGGAGAGAAGTGGGACTGGGAAAGGAAAGGGGGTACCTATAAACCCCCAAAGCTGCACTCCACAGGAAGGGCTGTTTCCAATTATCCTGGGGGAAGGGAGGAGCTGCCTTCTTGGGTGTAAGAAGCAAGGCTTTCAGCACCTCCGGCAGGGGCCGCATTCCTCTCCTTCCTGCCCAATCCTCCGCCAGGCAGCTCCTTTCCCTTTGACTGAGGTCCCCACCACGGCCCCGTTGACAGCATCTCTTCAAAGACTCCCATTCTGGGTGTTTGACAAGGTGTGTGAGGAGGGGGAGCGTGGACAGATGGAGAAGCAGGACCAGCGCGCCTGCTGAAGGAGCCAGCCCCTTGCCCTGGCGCTGCATTCTAGAGACTAATGTGAAGCAACTGTTTCTCCATTTCCTCCTTCCGGTGTGTCCTTGACTCTGCCTGCCCGGGTGCAGTGGGCACAGTGTTCTTGCACCCTTCCCCTCTGCAGCTGGATGATGGTAAACAGCGCTGTGCAGCATCGCGCTGACTTGTCTGTCACCGTCTGCTTAGTCTCACACAGTCACACTCAACAGTCTGCCACCGAGCTCCTGCCACCCAGGCTCAGGCCAGCTCCCCCTGACCCCTGATGCAGCCACCTCAGGAGTGAGATTTCAAACAGGTTTGCTCCTCAGTTTACCAAGTTGCCTAGCAACCATCTAGTCAATGGCAAGAGGCCCCACCCCCACCTGCTTGACTTCACACCATGCTCGGCTCGTCATTGGCTCCTGCCTGGTCCCACCTCTCAACCCCTGGTTTTGGGAACAATACGCCAGACCCCACAGATGCTGGACAAAGGAAACTACTAACGCCCTCACCACACTCCCACCAGCCACCTGCCACCCCAAACACACACAATGACTCCAGCATCATACAAAATCTTTATATTAACTCATCCCCACAGCCCTCTGTCCTTCCTTGTCCCTTCTCATCTTGGTGGTCATCAGGGCTACTGGGGTCCGGTCCCCCTCCACACCACCAGAGCTGAAGCCGCCATTCGGGATGGGCGTGGCATAGGGAGAGCAGGGGAAGATCCAGCTCCGGCTCGCCTTCATCCCCACTATTGGTGGGCTCTGGAAACACACGCTGGCCGGAAGCGGTAGCCAGTAGAGGCAAGCTAGGGTGTAGGCTGGAAGAGAGGGCAGTCTGTCAGCACCTAGGTCAGGATGATATGTGGGAGATCCACCTTCCTCCCCAAGCCCAGCTCCAAGCCCCTTCCTTTAGTGACCTCACTCCATTGGTGCAGTCCTTCTGGGGCAGAAAAGTCACCACAGGTTCCAGCGTGCTGTTAGTGAAAGCTCCACTGATGTCCCACACAGAGACAGCTCCATTGGTGTTGCCACTCACTAGGAACTGCCCACTCCTGGGAATGAAGGGAAACTTGTGGGTAGACAGGCAGCATCACTCTGCGGGGAGAAGCCATTCTTATCCAAGGGCCTAGGATGCAGCCAGACTCTGACCATCTGGAACCTGAAAGGGGCCACAGCCACTTACGGGTCCAGATCAAAGTAGATGCGCTGATTGGTGGTCACTTCCCGACTCAAAGACCACAGGAGGTGGCCAGGCTGCCGGAGATCCCAGCACAGAAGCTCAGCATCCTGAAGACAAGAACAGAGGTCTGAAGTGTTCCCACCCCCTCGTTCTCCCTCTCTCCCCTGCCTCCACCTCAGCCTCCCTCAAACCTGGTTTTAACACATTACAAAGGACATCCCCACTCCTGCCTACACACAAGCTTAGGCTCTGACCAATACCTTTCGGGCTCCTGAGAAGAAGAGGTTGCCATCGGGGTGAAAGCAAAGGTGGGTGACACCCCCTTGGTGGCCTCCCAGCAAGGCAAGAGGAGAACCGTCATCCCAAGCATACAGGCCTAGGGTACGGCCATAGGAGCCACAGGCGTAAAGGGCCTGGGCCGGACTAAAGGCTATACAGGAGATGATGCCACTCTGGCCCTGCTTTTTTGCTGGAGAGGAAACAAGAGAGCAATTAGCACGGGACAGTAACCAGCCTGGGACCTCTGTGCCCTGCCTGGGACTGACATGCAGGGACTCATTCCCCACCCTGTTTACCTCAAGCAATTTGAAGTTCTCTGATGCTTCCCAGATCATTCAGTTCCCCTAAAGAACCTAGTCTCAGCCGGGCGGTGGTGGCGCACGCCTTTAATCCCAGCACTCGGGAGGCAGAGCCAGGCGGATCTCTGTGAGTTCGAGGCTAGCCTGGACTACCAAGTGAGTCCCAGGAAAGGCGCAAAGCTGCACAGAGAAACCCTGTCTCGAAAAACCAAAAAAAAAAAAAAAAAAAAAAAAAAAAAGAACCTAGTCTCCCTCTCCCTAGTCTCCCTCTCCCGGTCATAGCCCAGTTTTTCCTGGAAGGGATGGAGAGCTACAGGCCTACAGGAAACCAACTCCCCTTCACCTTCAATTTTGTAAGTTCAGTGGTACAGTGCTTGTCTAACACAAGACCCTGGGTTCAGTCCCAGGCACTGCAAGGTTTTGATAGACCACAAACTACACATCTGACCGGCATGGACGGGTTAGGAGTTAACCCAGCTTTCTCATCAACTGCTTGACCTGGGGAGAGTTTCCTCCGAGCCTAGAGGCAGTGTCTTGGCTGAGAAACCCCACAGGTGGCCCCAGCTCACTCACGGCCCCGTCATGGGTACTACGCTTTCATCTCCTGCCCCTTGAGGCTTACCAAATGTGGTTCGCACCTCGCAGTCTCTACCAGGCCTGGATGTGGAGAAGACACGCACAGTCCGGTTGAAGCCACAGAAGAGCTGGGAACCGTCCGGGGAGAAGCAGAGCGAGTGGGCTGCTGTCAGCTCGTCCTAGGGGCAGGAGAGGGCTGGAGACAGGCCTGCAAAGCCTCGTCTGTCTTCCAAAAGGGAGGGCCAGGCCCCAGTGAGCACAGGGGCTGGACAGGGAAGTCAGTACCAGGTGGTTGTACGCGCGAAAGGAAGCCCGGAGCTCTCCAGTGAATGCGTCCCAGATGTGGATTGGGTTCTCCCGGCTGCTGCTGGCCACGCTGGGAGAAACACGGAGGAGGCTGAGGCCCAAGTGACCGTCAGAGGACGGGAAGGGAGCCCAGTGCCCGGCCCTCCCCGCTTCCATCAGAGGGGCACACTGAGCACCCTCTCCCACCCTCCCAGGAGCCCTGGCAGTCTAAGAAGAGGCCTCCTTGAAACTGGGTGTGTGGGCCGGGTGAGGAGATGATGGGGAACACGTGATGAAGGGCACAGCGAAGGTCGTCACTTATCACTTACTAGGAGGTGTCTGGCTGGCTGGAGGACATCAGAGAATACCAGCAGTAATCATAGATGGTGTCACCCTCCACCATTCGAAGGACAGGAACCTGGACACAGATGTGGGAATGCTGGGGTTACTGGCAGGGGAAAACAGGCAAAAAACAAAACAAAACTGTGCGGGGGGGCCCCCCCCCCGGGGGGTGTTAGGACACAGCGGGACACTAACCAGATAGAAGAAAGCAGAGGGGCATAAAGAACAGTCTTTACTATTCAAGCATTTCACCCAGGCTCAGATGTCAGACTCAGGCCACCGAATGCAGTAGAGATTCATAATCTTTGTTTTTCAAGACAAGACTTCTTTGTGTAGCCCAGGCTGTCCTCGAACTCAGAGATCTACCTACCTGCCTCCAAAGTGCTTGCTGGGATTAGAGGCATGCGCCACCACCTCCAGGCCATAATTTTTTTAACACTTACAAAGAACCAACCAGGTTCTATGCTATTCTACCCTTTAAAAAGATTACCAGGCCTTAGGGATTTAGCTCAGTGGCAACACTGATTGCCTACCATTTGCAAGGCCCTGAGTTTGATCCCCAGCAATGCAAAAACAAAGTCCAAAACTGCAAAGACTTCTTAAAATACTGTCTATGTGTATGCTCACATATCGCACTGCACACGTGTGTGAGTCAGAGGACAACGGGAAGTGAATAGGTTCTCTCCTTCCCACAGAGGGGGTCCTAGAAATCGAACTCAGATCTCTACCTGTAGAGTCACCTCAGGTGTTTGCCCCCCAGACAGTTTAATAGAACCCAGATTGGCTTTGAACTTCTGATCTTCCTGCTTCCACCTGGGGGTGGGGGGGTTGTCATCACACCCTGCTCATGTCCTGCTGGGGAAGGAACCCAGGGCTGGATGCATGAGATACAAGTACTCTGCCAAGTGCATTCCCAACCAAACGTACAAACACTTAAACAGCGAAATAAGTGCTGTGGACGCACGTCAGGGGTAGAACACTAGCCTGGCAGGCATGGGCCCCGGGGTTCAATCTTTACTAACATAAACAAATACCTACAAATTTTCTATCCAGTTGAAGAAAATAAAGTTGAGTGTGGTGTCTCTTGCCTGTAACCCCAGCACTTGAACTGAGACAGGAGTTGCTGTGAGTTCAAGGCCAACCTGGAATACTTAAACTGAAACACAAAAGGGTCATGGCTGACTGGTAGGGTGTTTGCGAGCATTCACAAAACCCTGGGCTGGGATCCTGGAATGTCAGCACTGCAGAGGCACAGAGGCAGGAGGATAAGGAGTTCAAAGCCAGCCAGGGCTCCTCGAAAGCCTGTCCCCCAAAAGCAAACAAAGAAACAAAGGAAACAGGGTGGGGGGTTGGATGGTCAGTGGACAAAGGTGTGTGCTGTGTGAGTCTGGCAACCGTAGTTGGATCTCTGGAACCCAGGTAAAGACGAAAGGGGAGAACACAGATCTGTCACCCGATTTCCACGAGGTCATAGCCACCTGCACCCACACCTACACCTACGCTCACGCTAATGAAACAACAGCAATAAAAAACGAAATAATTTTGACAGCGTGCTGGAGTGTGGCTCCAAGCCCTGGCTTGGATCCTCACCACTCCGAAAACAAAAAGAAAACAGTCGATGCCGGGAAGATAAAAGAAGGCCAGGCACTTTGGGGTGCTGTTGCCGAGATGCTGAGAGTAAGCAGGGCTGAGCGCGCGGAGAACACTGCCGTCTGGCAAGCTGGAGGCCGGGCATCGTTCGCCTCAGCCTCCGAAGTGGTGGGACTGCAGGCAGGTATCCCCCGGGCCTGCCTGAAATGTTTCTGTTTGCTGGCTGTGAAATGGGGCTTGCTAGGGCCTAACTTGGTATTTCCAACCATACTGTCGAGTTGTTAAGTGAAGGTAAGACCATTTGCTCTGTTGTTTTTGCGTTTTTTACTTGACACAGGGTTTCGTTTAGTCCAGGCTGGCCTGACTCACCACGCAGCTCTCAAGGTTGGCCTTGAACTACCGTGTCTCTTTGTTTCCCAAAGTCTGGATTTACAGACGCGCACCACCACATGTGGCTTAAGTCTCTCTGTATGTAGGCACATCGTTTCATAAATTTTGCCTTTTTTTCCTACTGAGTTGTCCTCTTCTTCACAATGTATAGAACATTTAAACAGTTTGGACACCAACCCTTTGTAAGCTCTTTGTTGACACCACCCAACCATGACTTCATTTTCTACCCCATCAGCCTGAATCCAACAGCTGACTACCTGGGGGACAGCTCATTTAGATCCCACAGGCACCTCAGACTCTATTGAGCCGTAAGGGACCAGCACCTGCTTGCTGCTCCCGGGCCCCACGCTGGTTTGGAAGTCTAGTCTGTGCAGGAGTGAGTCACAGGAGCTTCAGCTGTCAACCCGACAGAAATCTGGAGTCACCCAGGGAGAGGACCCTCAGTCGAGGGATTACATGGATCAGACTGCCCTGTAGGTATGTCTGTGGGGCATTTTCCTGATGCTGGTTGATGTGGGAGGGTCCAGCCGACTGTAGGTGGTGCCATCCCTGGGCAGGTGAGCCTAGACTGTACCAGATAGCTGACCATGAGCTTGGGAACAGCCAGGAAGTAGGCAGTGTTGCTCTTTGGCCTCTAATCAGCAGCAGAAAAGTAAACTAGGCCAAAACCCCATCCTCAGCCGTCCTCCTTGCTACTCCTGGTCCGGCCCAACACTGCAATCTGTCTCCTCCATTCCCTCCCTCTGATAGTCCGTTATAGCCACTGCCTCCTTGCCAGGCCCTCAGCGACAACCTGAGTGTCCTCCAGACCTCTCCTCACCACTGCTCTCAAACCTACCCATCCATTCTCCACCCTGGACCCCAGACCTTAACAAGCTGGGATTCTACAGTCTCATTCTCCTGCTAAAATATTTTAGAGGCTCCATGTAGCCCTTTTCCTTATGAAGACTTCCCTTAAATGCTCCTACCTGCAATTCAGCCTTCAAGGCTCATCTCTATCCACCTCCTTAAATATCACAATGTCGCCGGGCAGTGGTGGCACACACCTTTGATCCCAGCACTCGGGAGGCAGAGGCAGGCGGATCTCTTTTGAGTTTGAGGCCAGCCTGGTCTACAGAGTGAGTTCCAGGACAGGCTCCAAAGCTACACAGAGAAACGCTGTCTTGAAAAACAAAAACAAAAACAAAACAAATCACAATGTCAACCACTTTGATTCTCAGGCCCCATGAGATAGCAACTCCATATATTCTCAGCCACAGGCTTTCCAGAACTAGTCTCTGTTTGGAATATTATCCCTTCCTCTCCCCTGTACCCCTCCCACCTCCCGCCCTGGTAGAACCTCTATCACCCCAGGTCCTAGGTGCTCCCTCCTCTGAAAAGCTGTCTTTACCCCTTCACCCTCCACGTTCCCAAGCCCTCGATGCTCCTCACTGCTTCTAACAGTGTCCGAGTCGGTCTCCCTGCTCACCTCTGTCTCTCAACATCCGGGGCAAGGTCTCAGGCAAAGGATTTACTCGTCTGTTTCCTGTCATTTTACACGAATGAGTGTTATGCCTGCATGTATGTGTGTACACATGTGTGCCTAGTATCCTCAGAGGTCAGGAGAGGGTGTCAGATCCCCTGGGACTGGAGTTACAGGGGTTAGGAGCCACTGTGTGGGTGCTGAGTCCCGAACCTAGGTCCTCTGCCAGATCAACAAATGCTCTTAAGCGCCCGGCGACCTCTCCAGCCCCAGGAAGTAATGTTTCCACGAGCAAACACAGACAGCACACTGTTGCAGAACATAACACCCAAAATAATCAGACCCGAGTTAAAGTAAAAGGTGTGAAGTGGGTGATTAGAGGTCAGACAGGCTTCATGAGGGCTGGCATTCAGTCATATGGGGAGTCAGGAAGGTCACAGGATGAGACCCAGGCTTCTGGCTTGGAGAGCTGAGGCCGCAAAGATGGGGAGGACTTAGGAGACACAGCCAGGCTACGAGGCGCCAACCTCCGCAGAAGTCATCAGAAGAAACTCTGTGAGGATAAAGGAGCAATAGCCTAGCTCTGGCACTGGGGGTGAGGACACCCCACTCCGAGAAGGGTGTGAAAGATGCAGAGTCCCCAGAGAGGGCCAGAGTGGTACCAAGAACCACAGGTATGACAACAGGGACACAGGTCAGGAAACAGGCTGGGGAGCCAGTTCTAGAAAGTTCTGAAGAGAAGGTAAGAGGGAGACCACACAGGGAGGAATATGCAGTCATCTCAGTTCTCAAGAAGCATGGATTCCCGGACACGCCCCACAACATACCAACATCTGTTGATGGTCAGTCTCACAGATTATATAAGGGGCTGTGGTATCTGCAGAGGACCTATATACACCCTCTCAGATGCTTCAATCTCTAGGTTACTTTTAATTACTAATTAATGTAAATGTCACATTGAGAGTTGCTATACCGTATGGTCCAGGAAATGTAACAAGGGAAGAAAAGCCCCAAACATGTCAGTACAGACTCCCTGGTCTGTCTGTTTGGCTTTTAACTCATCTATTTATTTTACATCCTGGCCACTGACTCCCCTAAACCCCAACCAGACTCCCTGATTTTTTGTTGTTGTTGGTGGTGGTGGTGGTTTTTTCGAGACAGGGTTTCTTCATGTAGTTTTGGTGCCTGTCCTGGATCTCCCTCTGTAGACCAGGCTGACCAGACTCCCTGTTTTTATCAAATATTTTGGACCTGCAGTTGTACAGACACCAAAAGCATGGATAGAGGACCGACTATATCCAAAACTGTCTTCATACACTAGGCAAGCATGCTACATCCTAGTTCCATGGATTTCATCCGTTTTCAAACACGGAGCTCTCAGACAGGAAAAGTGAGAACACTTAGCTAGAACTAATGGCACACACCTGTAATTCCACACTTGGGAGGCTGAGGCAGGAAGGTCACAAGTTCAAGGTCAGTTTGGGATACTGACTCAGTCTGAAAAAAGGGGAGGAGGTGAAGATATAGCTCTGCCCTAACAAACATGTATGAAACCAGGGGTGTGAACCCCAAAACTGGAGTGGGGGGAGAAGCCAGAGAGAATACTTAAGGAGTGAGGTTGTGATAGAACATGT